AATGCCATATAATAAAAAAATTTACTGACCTCAATCGTTCGGGAAGTACGGGAAAATATCCCACCGAGGTCTTGCTGTATTGACCGAGTGATATTCTCGGTCAGTAAGTTATCAACAGTATACGTACATTATTGAAAATATGAAGAATTAGTAGGCGAAGAGTAGTGATTATTAAGATAGTTCAGGTTTCTGTCCAGGTTTATTGCTATGCTTAAGCCTGCCACAGACAAACCACATATTGTATTCTATTTGAAGTACTGCTCAAGGTCAGATCGTTCTTTCCAATCACATGACCTCACAATTGTGTGCACCACGACAGGAAGATTGGGGAAGAGATTAAGGAAGTACTCTTGGGGATCGCCCACTACATAAAATACTTCTGGTCGCGGCCTTGGACGGTCATTCCAGTATTCCTTGACATTTCGGATAAGTCGTAAACAGTCCGTCCACAATGGCGTATAACGAAATGTTTTCCCCTTCAAATAATCAGTGCTTAAATACTTCAGAACATGGGCATCCATCTGAGATCTCCAATCTTTGGGATCGCTGTTCAACGTTCGCACGACATCTAATTTGGCATCCCGTGTCTTGATCTCAGGCTGGTTTCCTATTTTGCACAACATTTCGAACTGCTGTTTCTGTGACTGAAGGTAAGGGTGTTTTAGCGCTTCTTCAGCGGACGGTCTATCTTTGGGATCGTGGCTCAGCATCCAGGATATTAAATTTTTTGCGGCAGTATCTTTCAACTTAACCAAATAGACTGCGTTACCATCAAGTAAGTTGCGAAGTCGGTCAGGTTCTTCTCCAAAGGGATGTTCACCTTTTGTCAATGTGTAAAATGCCACCATTCCGGCTACCTAAGTACGACAGAGTAATATTGCAATAATAAGAGAATAATCGTTGGAGTGCAAACAAAGAATCAAACAAAACAACGTAAAATTCGTTTTTTGTTTGCTCCAAAAATTTCAAATCGACACACTTATTTCTCCTTGAGTCACGCAGTTTTGAAAAATATTGTTGACGTCAACATTACTTACAAAGGCTGTAAAAACTATGGTATGCATGCATGCAAGCTAATGTGAAAATATTTGGCTGGGGAAAACTGGTTGTTTCATCAAACTTTCGAAAATGTTTTATCATTTTGGTTAAAAATTGGCTTTATTTAAGACTCATTTTGTTTGGCCGCCAAGTTAACCCTCTTCTCCACCTGTCGCTATAGAGTGTTACCTGGCAAGCTGGCAAGTTACCTGTCATTCGAATTGGCTACACGCGACATTCAGCGTAAGCGAAATGTGCCGCGCGAACACGCAATCAACATGGACAGCGGATTATTTCAATATGAGCCTTGCAAACGCACACTACTTATGATCAGCGAGTATTCGCTGAATACTTAAAGTTTGTTGCTAAATTTTGCAGTGTGTTTACGTATAAATACATGACTGTTTTCTAACTAATTTTGGCGGTAATCACCCTTCATATAGGCAGAGCCTTTCGTGTACACAATTGGCCGCTATGCATGACGGTATATAGGAGTCGTCACTTGACATGGCAACTGTAGGCGCGAGTGTTTGTTTCGAAGATGAGATAGTGGATTTTTAACCACTTTTTGCATCCATCGATAAATTTTATCCTCAGCAAAACAACAAGAGAGCTCTGAACTACATGCAGATGTAATTTCATGGAGTTAGTGCATTAATGGCGAAGAAAATGCATTGGCAAGGAGGTGAACACGTTTCGCATAACATTTCTTGCAAAAAACTGATCTCACAAACTTTACAAGTATATTTTAAAGTTTTAAAATAAATTAATATCGGAAATTTGTTTTGTCCAAATTAACTTTCACCTTAATTAACCTAAATCTCCAGGTTATTTCGATTCGATAAGTTTATAAATGCCATTTTAAGCTTTGTGAATTTGACAACTTTGTCATGATTTAATGTTTGACCAGATTTCTAAATTTACTCACGATCTGAATATGTTGACTGTCTATATAGCCATAGCAAAATATTCAATAGTAACAATGTTCTCTTAATTTCATCGTTTTTTATAGTAAATCTATCTATACATATTTATTATTAATTAAAAAGTGGGAAATTGCTTGATCAGTTAATCAGACTTTAATGGTAGATGTACTACAGCATGAAATTTAGGTAGTATTTTATTGTGAAAATGATCTTCATTAGTTTTGTTTATGTCACAAAATTTCATAGCTTTCTATCTTATAGCCTGAGAGCAAGACTAATGTGTCTGAAGTATGACATAGACACTTGAAAGACACTGTTTTATACAAATAACAAGTTTTAATTAACTATCAAAGACTTGATGTGTTGTAATCATTTTTAACCCTAACCCTAACTCGCGATTTCTCTTGTCATTGGTTACAAAACTTTCCTTATATTATAGTTTAATATACCCTTATCTAACATATTGTAATATAGTCTGATCGTCAACATATGAAACTAATGTGAAGAGAATCTATCTTTTGCAAAAGCGAGCTGTTAGAGCAATGACTAACTCAGATTACCGTGCTCATGCATTCTGCTCCGCTTTTCAAAAAATTAAATATATTAGATATCTTCAAACTAAATACTCATTGTATAGGTATATTTATGTATATTTATAGCCGCGATTTATTACCTGAATGTTTTGACAACTTATTTATTTCGAACAATCAAGTTCACGATCATAATACTAGAGCTGCGGCCAAATATAGGTCTCATGCATGTCGAACTAACATAAACAATTCACTATCCTACATATATCAGGGTCCGAAAATATGGAATTGTCTTCCTTCATCAATAACAGGAATAAATATCACTTCTTCTTTCAAAAGAAAATTGAAAAAATATTTGATTGAAAACAATTAGTGCATGTATAATTCAATAGCAGCTTCTTTTATAAACAACAATTTATTTATTTTTCGGATAAAAAACAATGAGTAACAATGAGATGGCCTCTTAATACAAGTCTTTGACTTCCTGAGGTCTTCTCGCCACTTTCAATTTGATATACATAAATATAAATATATTCCTAAATATTACTACAATAATCAATGTAAATAACTGAAAGAAGTGGTAAATAAATTGAATTGAATTGAAAAAAAATTAAAAAAAATGAAGTATTGTGTAATTCTGCCGTTTGCCATTGTGTTGTCTCATAGGGAGGAGGCTGCAATTTTGACAATGGCAAAAATTAGTGTAAAACGGCCTATCAAATACTATTTGGTTAAAATTGATAAATAGTTTTATTATGGTAAGAAGAAAGCGTGTAGAACATAGTTGTTTCAAAGATAAATATCTTTTAAATTGAAAATGTTTACTCTTGAGGATGAATGCAACGACCAATTAACGTTTTGAATCCGAAAACCATTTCTTTAAAGGAAAGTTAAATAATTTGTTGATCCAAAGTTTTGCAATGCACAACGACGTCTCAAATTTCATGGCTGTTAGACGTGGAAGACGTTTTTTACTTCACTTCTATTGGCCATGGAAAACCAACAAAGTTGTAAATATGATTTGAAGATCCAAATAATATTACTTCAGTAGAATTGGAACATGCAAATGACAACTTTTCGAACAAATGACAACTGTATTCTAATTATTTAAATTAGCCGTTTTTGTTGTTTTCTTGACTAATTTTCGAAACGTCCTCAATGAAACGAATTCAAATCTCCTTCAATTGAATATTTAGGCCTAATGAAATTTCAATAATTATACGTCAAATTTCAAGTCAGACTTTGCTGAATACAATGAATTATTTGAAAAAATAGGTGTTCTGATTTGGTCGTTAAAATAAATGAAACCACACAACTTTCCTGGAGACAACTGGTAGCAGCTAATATTTGTTATTTTAGAAACTTTCCACAAGTATGATGGATTTATATATCCTGAACCATCTACATGGTCATGGGCATGGGACAAATTGGACAAATGGTTTTCTTCTGGATCTGCATTGGATGACAGGAGAGCATTCTTTCGAGAATTTTTCCCGAAGTGGAGCGGATTTCACGTTGGTTCCTGTGATCCCAAAATTCAACCGGTGGAAGCACTAGAACAGGTCGAATGTTTGGTTGAGGACATTTCTGCAGTCTGGACAGTTGCTACTACGTATACCACTCGAAATGCACGCCGTTGTACTGTTAACTATGACAAACTTAAACTTTCGGAGGTAGGTTTATATAACTAGGAATTAGTAAACCCGTGTTATAGACCAAATAGCATTTGTAAGCTTTCGAACGAAATGACCAACTAGTGAGACATACACATACACACAAAACAGCGATCGAAATTCCACATATCGAATATAACACGTCTTGATATTTTCAGTGTATAGATAAGTTGAATAACTACAATCAGTAACTAAACACTTTGGACAAAATAGCAAAAGAGCGTACATTTACATCATAATCGACCCCCCGCACCCCCCCCCCCTTCCCCCCCGGTCAATGTTGTGCAGGGAAATACCTGCGCAAAATG